TTTAAAACAAAAAGTTATGCTGTATCAGTTACAACATGCAAAAAACAATACAGAACTTTGAATTCACCGTACCTTGGGATCACCAGTGGAGACCAAACCAGAGTGATCTTCGTCCCCTGGATTTTGTTCATATAGCAAATTATGCTGGATCCCCTCTATGTTGTCTCTCTTGTTCACTTTTCCAAGATAACCCCACACCTCATCTTTTTTAAACCTTTCATTCATGGCTTCAAAGTCAAATTCTTCAGTGAATTGGGAAAGGTGTTGCGACTGAAAACAATCCAAAACAGACTTTTATGACACAAATAGTTAAAACTTACTAGAACAACTGACTTTAATCTTACAAAAAAAGTAACCCAGGAAATAAAGACCAAAAGCAAGTGAATTGAAAAAATTTCAATCTCAAAATGAATTAAGAGATAATTTACTTTTCAAATATCTAGCAGGGAGATTAAAAATCAATTCACGGGAAAGCACAACTTACACAATAACAGTAAAATTTTACTAAAAAAACCTACATAGAGATATGATCATCAAAAATATCCTAGAGATGAAGATATAGTAGCATTATGTAATACTACCCTGCCATATGAAAAAGGAAAATAACAAGAAAATTCCAAGCCTTCTAATGGAGAGAGATAAGGACCTATTGATGCATTTCATGGTTTTGCTACTTCACCATTGGCTTTATCTTGCTTTATCCTACCAATAACAGATCATGCATGGTACAATCAGTATTTCAGTAATGAGCAACCTAACTTGATAAAGCAATTAAAATGACACTGACAGCTAGCTGCAGAAACCTGTATCTAGAGGTGTCAAGACGGACGGGCTGGCCAGACCCATGAAAACCAGCCCAGATCGACCCGGGACCGCGGGCCGACCCATGACCCGAGCGGACGGTTCACGGGTCAAGGAGGTGTGACCCGCGGGCTTCGCGGGTTGCACCTTCACGGGCCGCGGTTAACCCGCTGGCCGGTGAAATTTTTTTTTTTTTTAATTTGAAAAAAATGGGGGAGAGTTAATACTAAATTATAGTTAAGACTTAAGTAGATGTCAACCAAGTTGAGATGTACTTAAACTATAAATTATAATAAAAGTAGGTGTCAACCTAGTTGGGATGTACTTATGCTAGAAATATTTGATAATAGTAATTAGAAATGTTGTTATTTGTTTAAGTTAAATTTAACTTTGCAAAGTTATAAATAATTCATATAACATTAAATTTGAATTCTATGTAAATATTTCTTGGTATAAATATGAATTTATCATTTTATTTAATTCTTAGTTTACATCCCA